AATAAGAACGACAAAAATAAAACTCCAGATATAACGACGTTACGTAATAATTCTTCCAGAGGTAAACCGTATGCTATGTCTATAAATCCTATGTGTTTGTTGTTGAGCAGTGAAATACAGATAATTGAATTAATGACTTATATTACCCTGTATTTTCGAGATAGAGAAATGCTATTCAGTTCCATCGATTATGAAAAGTGAACCCTACGGCACATTTATTTTTTCTTCATCTGCTTAAAATGCCTTTAAGGAATCATCAACGGAAATAATTGGATAATGGGGGGTTTAAGATTAGCGTAAATAACCCATTCACCTATACCTAGTATACGTAGTTTGGTATTACACTAAGCGGTATTTTACCTAAGTTACAGGGTTTGCGATACGTAATTCCCTATAAATGGCCGAATATAGGTAATTCGAAAACGTATGTTTTATCCAACAAATTATGTCATTTGTAGATCAAATATCATGTCATTAGACTTTAAAATTGTAACAACAAAATTTCTCATTCGATCTGTATACAAATTAAGTGGTCGAACACATTCTTTGATGCAATAAACGATGCCATGCGATAATGCAGGAAATTGTTGAATTTACACATTCTTTTGCTTACATTGTTTCACTTATTGTAAATGTATGAAATCAGCCATTTGCTCGTGGTTTTAATTGTTTAATTTTACTATTTGGTCACTCTCATTGCTGGAACATGCTAGAAATTTAACATTTTGCCTGAAATCACCGCCCCATTAGCGGGCCCACAAGCAACACCCCCTCCCATCACAGTACCGTAGCTACACCACTCTCTCTCTCTGAAGTATATAACAGTTCTTGGAGGTGACATGTACTGGTATATGCCATATAAGCCAAAATTTTTTTTCATTCTATAATTAGTATGTCATTTTTATCATAAATTGTAGCATACGGTTTCGTAGCCTTCTTCAACTCATTTTGCAATACACATTACCTATACGCATCCGGAACAAACATACGGATAGGGATAGGTACACGTATATTCTTCACGCTAATCTTAACCTCTCTATTGCAGCCCTTATCTGTCACCAAAACGTTAAAGCGATATCGTTTTTATTCACCGGGTCGACTAGACAAATATTATAAATATGCCTTAGATTGAAGTAAAAACAAAATAACACATACTAAGCCTTGCAAAATAGTACATTCACTTCCATAAGTTTGGCAACCTTTGTAAACATGCACATTTATCAAACAATTTCCGCACTGCTGAAGAATCAAATTTTTTTCCCAAAAAACGTTTAATGAGATTTTCGTTGAAATCTTATCGCCACAAAGAGATGGCTGAACACCAAACGAACATAATGCCAAAAACTCATGACTTAACACATATTAGCGAAGTTATATAGGAAAACGTATTGTTAAAATGTCCAGTTTGAAATGTTGATCACAAAAAAATCTACAAAGGTTGCCAAACTTATGGAGGGGAGTGTACATAATGATTAATGTGTAGGTTATATAAGGTATGGCATGTTTTATAAAATAGAGGCCGGTCCCAGACGGGGAATTTCATATCAACCTTATACTATATTGTTTCAATTATCTCCGTAGTTCAATCAGCTTATATCCGATGATCACAATAAAAACAGCAATCTATTCGTATTTTATTTCATTTATTCCTAATAATGAGAGTGAGAAATTCATAGAAAGGCTAAAATAGGATCCATATAAATGAAACCCTATTGGACATATCATCTAAGCAATTTGAAAATCAACCTAATGAATAAACAAAAATGTATTCAGCGTAAATGCGCAATACAAAAACCTAAACCGAATGTGTCGATCGGATATCTCATCTGAGATAATTATTCATTTAGTATCATTTTTCAAACTTTTGACGGGTTTATTTATTTTCTGCTTAAAGGGTTCCGATTAGCATCCCGTATAAAAACAATATGGCGGCTCCAGGCGAATCAACTGGATCAGTCCATTTTTAAGAAATAAGGGGAGTTCTGTAAAATCCAGTTTATTGAAATTGTCTTTGAGATAAAGTAATCCGTTTATAATGATTTTGAAAACGTTATCCAAAGAGTGATTGCGTTCAAAGAATACATGTACAAAAGCCAATATAAATCCTTGTATTAGAACTGCTTTGTTTCATTTGTAGGATATTTCATATGCCAAGCTGTGTGCTACGTTATGGGGAAATTTAGATGCCAATTTTTCTTTATTATACACAAATAGAAGATCCTGAAACTTCACCCATAAATGTGGAATTGATTTGTCAAAATAAAAATCACCCTTTTATAAATGTGTGACGATCTATAATATACTTATGCTTTATAACAGTTAGAGGTGTTGACACAACGACCTCGAACCTGTGAACCCGTGAGTTTTATTCCGGGATCGGGCCTTTTATACTAATGCCTTGGTCACATTTGCTCCGATTTTCACTACGGCGCCCGGCCGATTGAGTATTTTGTTCAAAATTGAATACAATATTGAACAAAACACTCAATCGGCCGGGCGCCGGCCGATGGGTCGGAGCATATGTGACCCAGGCATAAACGGTGAGCAACACCAGAAACGAGCGTTCGATTTGCTAAACGATATGCGTCACCCATTAACAGTAAATGGATGGAACAAGCCATCTGTAAATAGATTAAGAACACAAGGACATGCACCCCTGGGGATAAAATAAAGACAGCTTTAAAAGTCAGTTATTTGACTGGCCTGAAAAATACTGAAAGCCTAGCTAAACATTCATCAACATTCATTTTGTATGATACTGAGATTTGGTTCATCCTTTGTATTGAACAAAATCTTACTTTACGATGTTTAAATTGGCAACAATATAAAGCTCAATTTCAGAAGTGTACTAAAAATTGTAGCGATGTCAGAGTAAATACCTGAATACATATGTTCCAAGGGACCACACATTTTAGGATACCAGGCCAACGCTTGTTGGATGAGTATTTTATTCGAAACTGAGTGCAACTTTAAACAAAATACTCACCGACAATGATCCTTTTACCACATACCTTTTGGGCAATTCAAAAAAGCAATACAAGGCATAACACACACTCATTATTGTCACAGTAGCTCTATTTCGCCGGGTTTACCTTTCAGTTAATGATTTGCGAAAGTGACCATAATTTATTGGATTGATCAAATAGGAGCGATCGTATGGGATTTGTTTTTTCTTAATTTTGCCTTGTTAACTCTCACTCTTAATATAGTGCCTGGGAAATGGGATATACGTGATTTCTTCTTGAGATATTACACACTACTTACAGTCATATAATAGAGGGATTTCGCTCATAAGTGAAAGTAAAACGTATATTAAGGTGACATTAAAGTTAATCAAAAGTTCAAGAAATGGCATCCATATTTTTTGATAAAGTCACAAGATTTTGTATATGTTTTCCTTATATTTGAATGCATTTCCTGACGGAAGAGACACGTCCAAGAAAACATCACATTAAACGCATTTTTATAACTATGGATTGGAGGTGCATGGATCCCCAAAGCTAGCATGAAGAATGTGAAGTAAGGCTAATTTTTGAAAATTTCAAGGAGTAGCCTTGTAAAAGTCAGACATTTGCAAGAATCCAGAATTTTCACAAATCATCTTACTTTACCTAGGAACAGCGAAGGAGCATGAAGATGTACACTTCTTGCATTGTTAGAGTATAATAAAGCTCAAACCATAGTTTCCGGAACTACTTCTCAACTTCCTGATTAATCCTCATACAAATTTTGTGACTACACCAAATGGCATGTATTATCAGTTGTATGTTTTATATATTACAGTATAATTATCATGATAGATATACGATTGAGGCTTTATGAATGATAAACAATGGATATATGAATGAGCATTATTCTGGACTAAAAAATAGTCCTAGCAAAGAAAATGGTGGGCATGAAATATTTAGAATTCACAATGGTTTGAGCTTTATTATACTCTAACAATGCAAGAAGTACACATTTTCATGCTCATTTGATGTTCCTTGGTAAGGGAGGATGATTTGTGGAAATTTTGGAGTAATACAAATGTGACACCAGAGCACCCATACTCCTTGAAGTTTCAAAAATTAACCTCACTTCACAGTTTTCATGTTAGCTTTAGGAACCCATACACATGCAATTCATAGTTATGAAAAATAGGTTTATGTATGAACATTTTGTATATTCTTACTATTTATTTGAAATCGTTCTCGACGAACTTTGCCAATTTTCCAAAATTTCACGATTTTTGCTTTAAATTAATGATATGGTTTCCCGTATATAGAGGGCATACTCTTAAGATAATGGTTGAGTCGATTTTTGTCTGTCCTCAATCCCAATAAATTATTTTAGTAGGTCCGAAATTTGTTTCTTGAATTGATATCTTTATAAAGTTGTGAAATTAAATTACATCATTGGAGACTTCTATCCACAACATCTGTCATTGAATCATTAAAATGGCCTCTGTAATACTGAGTATTTCATTCCGGACGAAAAAACAAAGAAAGCAGAATCACAATTACAACCACATTTGATTATTCGATGTCCAAGATGTTCATATGTTTGCTGCCAAATTATTCATCATCGCTTAACATGGTATATTGGCTGCCATGATTTAAAAGTACTATCCTCGTTATTCATTTAAAGTGAGAGACTGCCGGGCAGACGTACCTTGATGTTCAACTAAACAATATTTTATTTTCAGCTTTGACTTTCTTGTTTCATTGAATACAATTATAGGTCTATTCCTAATCTGACGTTGGTGTCTAGATTCTTCCAAAGCTACGTTTATTTTAGGTTAACGTTGACGTCTGGATGTTACAAAACTACGTTATTTTGAGCTTTGACATTGTTATCTCATAATACAATAAAATACCATTTTAGTCAAACGTTGGTGTCTAGTATCATTCAAAACTACGTTTACTTCTAGCCTTAACCTTGTTTTCTATTATTACAATTCACGTTTATTTCTGGTTTGACGTTGGCGTCTCGTAATACAATATATATTCGTTTATTTTTAGTTTTGACCTTGGTGTCTAGTATCCTGACCCTAACGCTGATTGCCTGTGACAGGTTCTTCGGGATCGTTTTTGCGATGAAGGCCCACACTACGGAACGCCGAGCGAGCGTCTTCATTTGTCTGGTTTGGTTACTATCGATCGGGGTAGCCAGCCCACTTTTGATTTATCGCCAACAAAAAGAACGCCAGTGGAAAAACCATCTGGAGATATGGTGCGATGACATATGGCCCGTAGGATTGACCTTCCGGCCACGTACGATCTATTACACTTTCGTTGCCGTCGTTCTCTATTTCTTTCCTGTTATCGTTATGACCATCGCCTACTCCGTGATTATATGGCGCCTGTCGTCAAGTAGAGTTCCGGGGGACAGCATCCACACCGACCAGCGGTCACAGGAGTACAAAAAACGACGGGTATATACATAGTTATATACAGGGTGGGCTAATAAAATTGAAACATTTTCCATAGATTCAATTGCATTTATTATTGCAGTTCCACATAAGATCAGATAATGGTGAAATGATTATTTGTGAAGATGTAAAGATAAAAATATGCATGTATAATTATTTTTGACTTGTCATGGTGATGATCTGTTTACTGCGTGTATCATAAAATTTTTCCAAATTTCCTCTGGTTGAGACATCACTGCCGAAAATAGTAGAGTATCTACAAACCATGCAATAATTAGTTTTAAATGGTCTCAACACAATTTTCATCAATTAAAACTTACGCAGTTATCTCTAGGAGAAACCAACCATATCACCTTAATGGATAATATAGCTTAACTGATCTCAGCATCTTTCAAAAGTCGCACAATTTATCCCAAAAACACATCATTTAAGGCATGTGTGACTATCAAATACAGCTGAGACTGAGTTTCAGGTGGGAAGGGGACATGTTCTGGAAACAAATGCTTTGAGTAATTAAATGTTGAGCTTGTATATTCATACTTACAATTTCCTTAAGAATTGAAGATAATATTTGACAAACGAACAAAAAAGTTACAATGGATTAAACATTTTTTTAGCCCACCCTGTATATAATGTATACGTTTTTACGATTAGCAACTTACAATAATTTTATCTTTAATTTAAAACCATTAAAACTAATAAGAATGACCCTTACTGTCCGAGTAAATCAACAGCTAGGCTCTACGCCACCACGTCAGCTGCTTATAATGTAGAAATCCCCATGGAAATTAATATACAGGGTGTCTCAAAAAATGTACCCAAAAGTATATCAACACCATGGACAAACCAATCAATATGAACGTTTTTCCCCTATACACAGTTTTTAATTAAGTTTTGCCTTTTTGATACTTTAACCCGTTAACTTTTACACCACATATTCAATGTAACGTCATATTTCGATGACAGTCTGACACTGTTCATCACATTTGATATTTCTGGTGGAATGTTTTGATTTCTGTTCGGATGCTGGTCTTAAGTTGTTCTAGGTCTCTTAGCTTGGGTTTAGCATAAAAATGGTCAATCAAATAGCCTTAGAGAAGAAAGTATGGGCCGTCAAATATGGTGAATAGGGAGGCCCTCACAATGTCTTATAGCCCCCTTATACAAAGAGGTCAGAGGTTCAAGAAACTGCATTGGTTGGGATTCTAGTGTAGCTTTTGTTGTATATCAATTTGAGAGCACTGTGTTTTCATTTGGATATCATTTGGTCTCCAGGCTAGCCTGCCTAACTCTGGAAGGTAACTCCTGAATCATTTGCCGATAACTGACCTGATTATCTGTGTTTGTTCTGCCATCGTCATCCTCAAACATCTTTCTCTGTGGCTATTTGAAGGAGTGTTTTAATGCTCATTCCAAATAAAAAGACCTAGAACAACTTAAGGGCAACATCCAAGGAGAAATCCAAAACGTTTCACCGGAATTATTACCAAATGTGAGGAGCAATGTAGCAGTAAGGATACAGGCTGTCATCGAAATATGAGGTTACATAGATTTTGTGGTGTAAAAGGTAAAGGGTTAAAGCATCAAAAAGACAAGACTGAAATAAAAATGGTGTATTGGGGAGAAAACTTTCATGTTTTGGCTACATGACCATGTAAAAAATGTCTGAAAATATTGATTGGTTTATCTGTGCTCTTGATATACTTTTGGGTACATTTTTTGAGACACCCTGTATATAACAGGATTTATTTGCACTGATGCCCTTTTTGGACCAAATGTACACCCAACACACAATTTTCATTAACAGTAAACATAGCAATAAAGTTGATAAAATGGGGTTATATTCTTCAAATGACATATAAAATATTACTTTGATATAAGAATCCCGTCTCTACCAATCATTAGACAATTTATCATGTCAGCAGATTCTTTTAATATGTTCCCCTCACTCGTCAATAGTAAAATTGTCTTTTGATGGTCTTTCATGTTTCTAGTTCCTACACAGGTTTTTCAATATGAGATTTTTTGATATACTCTTATTGGTTACATTTGAATAAAACGTGTATTTCATCCTCTATAGCCGAGTCCTAAAAATTGTCTATTTAGATCAGTAATGGGTCTTGTATATCGGCCTCTCTCTATCTCTAGATCGTGGGCGCTTATGTAATCGAGTGAGATGTTGAGCATTTGAAAATGTCGTTTCTGAAAGGTATTGTTTAAATCCAAAGTGCGTTTTGAGTTGTTTAAATAATCTACGTTTCCCCTCGTTCCCACTTATAAGATTCTTCCAATATACTTGATACCTCTCTATTAATTTCTTTTTGACTTTAATAGCAAGCATATTAGTACTCTTCTCTATGTTTACCTTATCTTCACTATTTAATTCATCAGTTATTCACTGAGTTGTTTGTGGCATGTAAATGTGTTTCACTCATAATTAATGAATCGTTTTAAGTAAAGTCCCATTTTGACTCAACTCTAAATGACTGAGGTATTTAATTTGCATTTTTATAATATCAACTACCAATTAAGGTATTCTTCCCAATTCCCCTCTTACTGTCATGTATTTGGCTTTTTATGGACATCGAGAACATATTTTTGGAATCGAATACGATTGTTCTCAATTGAAGCAAACATTTCTACAACTTTCAAATTGAGGTCAACATGACCTAGGGGTGTTTTCACATTTTGGGAATAAATCTAATTTTTTGTAAAAAATATTTTATTGGTGTCAATGTGATCGGACAGGAAGGTGATTCATGATCTTGAACCATTTTAAAATTTGATTACGATCATACTCTTCTGTAATTAGATCGTGTGACAACGTACATGTACTTTAAACGAGATGGCCTACTAAACGTGGCAATGAGTTACTGTACTTCGACCCTACTAGGGACGAGTTACCAACAGAAGGGACATCGCTGCAACATCTTACAGTATATTTACGAACTAAATGGACGTGCTCCGACGGGGAGGTGATTCAGATTCAAAAACCGATGTCGACCATATCTTTCTGTGATTAGATCTTTTGACAACGTACTTCAAACTTCAAACAGTATGACCGACTAGACCATGAACGTAATTGCCGTACTTTGACCTTATACTAGGGACGCGTTAATGACGTTATGCAATCGGATATCGAGTGTAGTACGAGTGTACACCGAGATTGTGCGACATGAACGGACAGCGAATGCGATGGACCTATTGAAGACTGTATGAACGAAGTAGAAAATTATTTTAAACATATTTCCCGTCTACAGACCACATTTTCGAAAATTGCGGAGGGAGGGGTCAAAATGCCCCCCTCCCTTGCGACTCAGTGTTATAAAAAAGGTTGCGGACATTAGGGTTCCTCTTGTTGAGTTTTGAGTTTTACACATTAAAATATATCGCATATCAGTTATTTTTAAATCGAACGGTTCTAAAATCGATGGTTTCGTATTTGAAGTTAAATTCCACCCGGTTAATCATTTGGTCATAGAAGAAATCATCAAAAACAACAGATCTTGCCCTTACGACTTTATCACTATGCTAAATTAATCATGGTATTATGTACTCAATTTGGTTCATTTCGTTTGAGAGTCTTATCTCTGCCAAGCATAACTCATTCTAAACACACCAATCCATCATTCGAAGCAATGATTTGACCATCGTCAGTTGTGTACCCAACCTCCTATCAAACCAAACTAGTTCTTACCCGTTCTTGCCTGTCCAACTAAAACGTCGTAAAACGGGCTCAATCTGGCTGTGGTCGGGAAATATGTCTAAAATAATAAGCTACTTTGTTCATAAACAGTCTTCAATACGTCCATCTCATTCGCAGTTCGTTCAGGTCGCACCACGCCGGTGTGCAACGTCGTATAACGCGTCCCTTAGTCTAGAAGGTCATCATGACCTGATTACAGAACGGTATGGTCGCCATTGAATGTTGAATCGATTCAAAATTCTAAATCACATTCCTCGTCCGGGAAAGTCCATGAAGTTCGAAAACAGACCGTAGAACGTTGTAGCTACGTTCGTTCCGTTCGCACACAGTTTAAAACCAGTTTTGAAGAACGCAGTGGCATCTTGCTTGGATAGCTATATTTTTGCTAACTCGTTGATAAATACGTTCTTGATCAGTTTTAACCCGTTTGTAATTAGTTCTACCTCGTTCTCAATTCGTCCTCAGACATTTCAACTCGTTGTAAACACGTCCCTAGTAGGATTGAAGTACGACGGTTCCTTTTGTAGTACGTCCAGCTCGTCGTTAGTAGGTTGTCACTCGTTCTAATTGTAAAACGTGACGACCAAGAGAAGATTTTGAGTATGTTCTTACCCTACTATCACACCAAACTAGTTCTCACTACGTTCTCGAAAACGGGCTTCAACTGTGTACGAACGGACTGGACGTACTAAGAACCGTTTGGGATCTATTTACAAACTTCATCGAACGTACTCGAACGGGTAGGTCCTCTGAACTTATACAATGCTCAAAATGTTCTCGTGGTCGTCACGTTCTACAATTAGAACGAGTGACAACGTACTAACGACGAGCTGGACGTACTACGAACGGAACCGTCGTACTTCAATCCTACTAGGGACGTTTTAACAACGAGTTGAACTGTCTGAGGACGTGTTGAGAACGAGGTAGAACTCATTGCAAACGGGTTTAAACTGATTAAGAACGTATTTAACACTGCTTATGAACGAGTTAGCAAAAATATAGCTATCACACCAAACAAGTTGCCACTGCGTTCTTCAAAAATGGTTCTAAACTATGTGCGAACGGAATGAACGTAGCTGCAACTTTCTAAGGTCTATTTACGAACTTTATGAACGTTCTCAGACGGGAATGTGATTTTAGAATTTTGAATCGATTCAAAATTCGATTGGGACCATACCGTTCTGTTATCAGGTCATGATGACCTTCTAGACTAAGGGACGCGTTCTACGGCGTTGCACACCGACGTGGTGCGACCTGAACGAACTGCGAACGAGATGGACGTATTGAAGACTGTTTAAGAACGAAGAAGCTAATTATTTCAGACATATTTCCCGACCACAGCCAGACTGAGCCCGTTTTACGACGTTTTCGTATGACTGGCAAGAACGGGTAAGAACGAGTTTGGTGTGATAGGGGGGTAAGTTCTAGAGGACCTAACCGTTCGAGTACGTTCGATGAAGTTTGTAAATAGATCCCAAACGGTTCTAAGTACGTCCAGTCCGTCTCGTACACAGTTGAAGCCCGTTTGTTAATGTTAATTAAAGATCCTCGCTGGTCCAAAAGTAACCCTACTTTATTATACTATGTTTTCAATTTAACTAAATTGCTAAACGATAATATAAGGGTTGTTCTGGACGCTTACCAAGCCCCGGATATTAAATAAACCCTTATATATCCGATTATCAATGATGTCATTATTACAAAGTTCAAAATTAAACAGTCGGCCTTTTTTTCATTTCAGATTATGAATCGTGAGTTTTGGTCTTATATACCAAAAAATCAAAAACACACAAGAAGTGATTAAGTTAATTACTAGCCCAAATCATTTGGATTACTGATTATAAATGGATTTATAGCCAGTTTTATGTCAGACGATAACGACATTTTCATTGTTGGAAAATATCGAGATTGCATTATGGGAGCCAATCCTCCTTAGAGTGACTTGTTTTGGGTCGTTCTTGGTACGAAAGTATTCTTACTCGTAACATTGATAACGTTTTGACATCCCTGGTTGATTCACTGAGTCTTTGTCCTGGAATTAATGCATTGGCATAACATGCACCTGTTCACATTTTCAGAAAATAGCCAAACTCGTATAACCGTCTGAAATCTGTTGGAATACCTTCCGTAGTCCTTTCCTGGAATTATTTGCCTATCTGTAAACTCTAGATAAAAAATGTACGCATGTCAGAGAATAAAATATTTTGTAATTATTAAAAGTGAAGAAATTGAACTGATCTTTGTGAGGTGCCCAATACCCAATATTTCCAATTGGTGCGTGTCCTCACTATTTGATTTTCTATTTCAGGTAAACAACATGTTGGTGTCTATACTATTGGTTTTCGTATTTTGTTGGTTGCCCCTGGAGATTTCTATTCTATATGCCGAGCACAGAACAAATCTGACGGATTCGGTAAGTTTTTTGACTGTTTGATGGAACGTTTACCCATAAACCTTTTTTTCATTATAAAGAAAATATATTATCATTCTACATGGTGCCGCATCGATCTAATATGTAGTTTTGATTGTGCGAGTTATAATTTTACGATTTTTAATCCATTTCCTTTATTTTATTTGTGATATTTGTATTCTGGGCGGTCTTTGTAATGATCTAATGGGGGGATGACGTTTCTGTCCCATCCAAGGTGTAAAACCAACAACACTTGTTATAATGATTACTTCAAACGTGGTTGTTTGTTGTTTGTAATTTGCTTATTTTTAAAGTAAACCAAACCATTATCTTAAAATATATTAAAAATATAAGCTAATAGGGAGGTTAAGATTAGCGCAAAAATATACGTGTAACTATCTCTATCCATATGTTTGTTACGGATGCGTATATGTAATGCGTATTGCAAAATGAGTTGAAGATTATGCCCGTAGCCAGGTTTCGGTTAGGGGAGGGGGGGGGGGGGGGTCGAACCCCCCCCCCCATCCACACACAAAAATGTTTTCATGCTTAACCAACTTCGTTTTGTGACCACAAGGGTGTTATTAACAAGACACCAGGGGAAAACAAGAGGGGACCCCAAAATTTCCGCGCTTGCACAGATGAAAATAAGGGCCCGATGCAAATTTTGACAAATGTCCAGTAATTCCCTAATGTTGTTAAAATGACTAGTTAGTTGATTTAGACGGAACAAAATTCGAGCCAAATTATCATGGCCTGTAAAATAATAGCTTGTGAGTAATGTATCCAGAAGGTATGCTCCCCCGGAAAGTTTAGGAGATTTGGGCTGATTTAGTGCGTTCTGAGCGATTCTAGGATCAAAATATATGATTTACGTATTTCAAAAAACTGATTTGTTAGGCTTTTTAGCGAATTGTGGGCGATTCTGATGCGTTCTGATCGTTCTAGGGAACTAAATATATGATTTACATATCTTAAAAAATCGAATTTTTAGGTTTATTTGACACGTTCTGAGCGATTCTAGGATCAAATATATGATTTATTAAAAAATCAGAGGGCTGGCTCCCCTGAAAAAGTTAAGATTTTTGGGCTGAATTCGAGGATCAAAATATATGATTTATGTATTTATATTAAAATTGAATATATAATTTAGGCTTATTTGGCACCTTCTGAGCGATTAAAGGATCAAAATATATGATTAATTTCCGAATGATTTAGTTGCCTCGCTCTTCTAGTCAATTTAGAATTTTATAAAAAGAAAGTGGCAATCACATCAAAATACACTGTACATATGTCACCAAATGTTACCTTCTACCTCGAAATGTCAGAAAATTCTTCAAGAAAGCAAAAAAGGTAGGTCCACATTATTTTAGGAGATATCTGGGGTCCGAGCCCCCCTGGCTACGGGCCTGAAGATTAACGTAAAAGGCTACGAAACCGTATGCTACAATTTATGATAAAAATGACATCTGTAGAATGAAATCCATGCGATGGCTTATATGGCATATACCAGTACATGTCACCTCCAATAAGTTATATACCTCAGAGAGAGTGGTGTAGCTACTACTGTAATTGGGAGGGGTTTTTCTTTGTGGGCCCGCTAATGGGGCGGTGACTTGAGGCGAAATGTTAAATTTCTAGCATGATCCAGCAATGAGAGTAACCAAATAGTAAAAATTAAACGATTAAAACCACGATAAATGGCTGATTTCATACATTTACAATAAGCAAAACTGAATTAATGTGTTCGGCCACTTAATTTGTATACAGATCGAATGAGAAACTTTTGTTGTTACTATTTTAAAGTTTGATGAATATATATTTGCAAATGACATAATTTCTTGAATAAAAACATACGTTTTCGAATTACCTATCTTCGGCCATTTATAGGTAATCACGTATCGCAAACCCTGTAACCTAGGTAAACTACCGCCTAGTGTAATAATAAAATACGTATAGGTATGGGTAAATGGGTTATTTAGGCTAATCTTAAATTCCCTATTATCAATCAGTCTTTGTACCCCTGCATTTGAAAGTCCTATGCCGTTGTCTCGGTATACACTCTAAAGGTCACTGGGTGATGCTTTAAACATCTGTGTAACTATAATAATCACGGCGTATAACCCAAACGCTCCTATATGCACGACGGGGCGTTTCATTTACGCGGAAACGCTCCGGAGCGAAATAAAATGGCGGCTAATGAAGATTCCACTATGACCGTAAGTATTGTTTCTCTCGTCTCTCTTACATATTATATGTTATGGTGAAATATTATGTACCATTCGATGAACAATACCGTGAGCAAAGATCTTATTTATTCAGCTTCTGGTGGTAAACTGTTATTTGCTTGATCAAAGCTCCGAAGTGTAGATCGAACCGGAATCTGAAGATGACGATTTGACCACAAATTACGAATTAAACTAGTATTTCTATAAAAACGTTAATCTTTCTGTTAAAGTAGTAGATCACAAACTCGTATATCCTTATTTCCTAAAATCCCAGTCCAAATCCATTACTTGTTCTCAAGAAATCGCTTGTTTTCCTCAAAACGCTCCGTCGATTTAGAACACAATTTTAGAAACGCTCTTACCATTTTGTTTTGATATCATTTTTAGATTATTAGAGAAGAGTTCCGAATCGAATCTATCTCTCAAAAACGTGTTGTACTTGTTAAGAAAATTTAAACATCTGCACCTGGTTGTGCTAAACGTGCAACTAGCTGATTTATGCCTAAATTAGATGATGTGATGCCTACATGTGTGCTAAATCATAAAACTATAATAGAAAAAACGAAAATTTATATGTGAATTAATCTTTCTTCTTTTGATGCCAAGGGGTATAATAGATCTTTTCTTTCTCTTCCTCAAAAGGAAAGGCAAGCTATATATTTCCTAAACAGATCTAGACTACCGGAGCGTTTCTAGTTCACTGTGTTAACCAGATCGGAGCGTTTCTTGAATATGAGAATGTCATCATTTTTAAGACTGGATTTTCGGTCATCAAATCACTATTACGATAATGTATGGTGCGTTGAAGCATTGGAATTTGACTAAAATATACGTTGGTGCTCTAATCTTGGCTCAACTAATCACATGTATCGACAAAAGGGGTTTTGACCGGTAGAATGACAAATACGTTTTTGGATTTTGATGACTATACTGCTTCGTACAGCTCTTCCTAATTGCTTCAAACGTCAACAGCCAGTCAAGTACAACATGAATATCACACCCATCGAATGGTATACTCGAAATATGTAACTCATACCTCTTATTCCCATTATTGGGGAAATCGTCAGACGGCTCATCATTCCCGCCAGCCAGTTTTCCTACTCCGGAGCGTTTCTTTGTTTAATTTCAGTAATGAAACGCTCCGTCGTGCATGTAGGAGCGTTTGGGTTATACACCGTGATAATAGTGGATAAAAAGTGTAATGGATATATCTAAAACAAAGTGTGGAAGTAACAATTATCTCAAAAGCACTTTTGAATTTGATACCGTATAAGTACGTCATTTACAAATTGATATGTAGAATAGACCTGATATCTATGCATCTTAAGTCTTATACTATTTTAGAAGGACGTTATTTATATATTAAACAACTGTATCTAGTATCATTTGAAATGAATATAAATCTGTTTTCTACTAGAAAAGGTTGGGGGGGGGGCTAATATAGCGATTATATGGTCATATTTGGAAAAATATTGTATACTTACACTCCCCTTCAAAAGTTTGGTAACCCTAACTCCCTCATTGGACTACGAGTTAAAGTCTCTTAATGTTTGAATTTTTATTTACATAACCAGCAATGAAAATACTAATGATAAAGGTGAAAATGTAACTTGACTTCGTTTCCAATGCCTCTAATTTTTTCAATTTTTTCTTGATTACAATAGGTTGAGATTGATGACAACTTTTGGAAAATTATAATCCCAATTTAAAGAAATGGGTTCGGGGCAAATCAGATTTCTGGATATATATTCAGTAAATGCTTCATTTTTATATAGACGATTGAAAATTATTTTTCGCCTCCTGTGTTATTTCAATGGGAGAGGTTTCTCGAAAAATAATTTCAACTTTGGAGGCCTATAACTTTGCTAAATGTGAAAAAACATATCACTTTTGTGTTAAACAATTGCAAAGTTTGCAAATTCAATTTCCTACCTAAACTAAACTCGGATACATTGATATTCTGTCATATGACTTACGACAAACATTAGTTCCCATTGGTTTAACATGGGAGTGTCGATTTTAAAAACTTCATCAAATTTGTCTTCAATATCCGACCTATTGTTAATGTTGAAAATATTGAGAAAAATTGGAGGCATTTGAAATGAAGTCGATTTATATTTTCAGCCCTAAAAGTAGAATTTTCTTTACAGACTATGCAAATAAAAATTCAAACATAGATAGGCTTTAGCATGTGATCAAATAGAGGAGTTAGGGTTGCCAAACTCATGGAGGGGAGTGTAACTCAAGCCAATTGTTTAAATAAACTTTGTATAACGGAGATAATAGTACGACAACAGAAGTAGCACAAAATAATAAGTGTAATGATATCTAATTTATATCTATTCTTATAATATAAGGGGAATATCGGTGTTGGGGATGTACAATTTCAGAGACCATTTAATCCAAGTGTCTCGAGTGCTTTATATGGAAATACTTTTTATTATCGTATATGATCTCTTAAACGAAGCTCTGATTGTCCAGTTCTTGTGCTCTACCAATTTGTATTGCTACTGAGATTGTACGGAATTGATTTCGTCTTTTTCCAATACAGAATTTCTCGAGCAGAATATAACCTGTATTGCACTTCAAATCATCCAATAACTTATATTGCATTTAAGCGTTTGATTTACATTCCAATGGCCTCACCAGTTGTATTGTTACAATAAAGAAATTGAATTTCATCTACGCATCACATTAGTAACACGGTAATAAGTAGACTCATTTTATCGTTTATAAATAACACCTGACATCCGGCTGTGGAAATAATAATATTGAGTGATAAGTAATTATTTTAATTATTGATCAATTACCAGTAAGTAGTTGTGACACAACCATACCTAGCAAATACAGTTGGTCCAGTCTTTTTAAGAAGTATTCAAAAGAAATGCTGGAATAATCAATTTAATAATCAATTTGAGTTTTTCCTAAAAAGTGTTTTTTCTAAGCCTTATTAGGTCACTTATTTTTTCCTATAGATTAATGGTCCAGTTGAGCTTCCCATCCAAAGGCAAGCTTAATCGAAACGTTTCTTGGAGTTTTCCTCCAAATATTAGAGCTTCAATTTGGATAGCGATCAGTAACTTGAATCTGTCTTAAATATACTGTAGGTGATAGTTTGGTTACTTTCAGGTGTTCTTCCAACTGAGCTACTTTTAAATCGAGCTACACTGATTTGTTCGTCAAAGTACTGAAGCTAGGGTTTGATGGTTCAGTCACTTTGAATCCTTGAATCTTTCTCACGAGGTCAAGAGCTCTGATTTAATACCAACTTTTTACCGTTTTTCCTCAGGGGCTAGAGTTGCTTTGTATTGTTGCTATTCTATTTCTAATGTCTATCGTGCAGTCACAAAGACAATAACCAAAGTGTACACGGAACACTGTAAACGGACACTAAGGAGTTAAAGCTCGCGATGTTTTTCACAACCTAAACGTGAACGGAAAATATTGAAGTGATGCACTTGTTTTGGCGATTGCTCATACGTATAGGTTGGCGTTTCGATTTTCTATATGCAAGCTTAAACTCCTTAATATCTAATGATCTGAACGTGTAACTATTCTTGATGTTGTATATGATAATAACTATACACAAAACAGAGAAGTCCAGCAAACAAGCAAACAAACAAACAAACAAACCATAAAGCAGATTTAACCAATCAAATGGGTATCGACAAACAAGCAAGCAATTATCACTCAAACTGTATCATTATTTATATATCTGCTCTATTTCAGCTGCCAACATGGTACAAAGGCTGGTTCCAATATGTAGCCGTCTTCTTAGCCTACTCCAACAGTGCGCTCAACCCTTTCATTTACTCTGGATTCAATGAAAACTTCAGAAAGGGTATGCAACAAGTTATTATTGAATGTTCATATCCCAATGTTTCAACTTGTAACATATTGCTCGATTTCCATTTATTTTATTAATATCTGGTTAACTTGGATCCTAGTTCAAACTCGGACAGAGTTCAATTGTACAGTATATTAGCATTAATGTTGATACATCAACATAAAACCATTGTCACAACTAAAATGTATCAATGCCTGAACTATTTGGTTTATCATAATCGTTTTAGTCACTTTCCATGATAAAGGGTGTGGTGTTGTCTTAATCGAGAAAATATAACCTATTTGTCCAATATTTACCAATTTATTTATAGATTATTTCTACTACAGTTTGTAAGTTGACATTTTGCTCAAGTATTGATATAGTCAAAGTTATGTATTAATTCAAAATTGAAATTGTTCAAATTTGTTCAAATTAAAAAGTCATCACTATGGTTACCAGATATTGCCCCTAAACAATAGTCGGGCATTTTTGATTCTACCAGTTTCAGATAATTGTGCAAACAAGCAGGTAGTATACAGGTCGAGTAAACATATGAGTTTTAAGAGAGAATCAGATATAGCGAGCAGGCTAAACAAAAATTGTTTAAATTTTAGAATATTATTATATTGTCATTCCTTGTCATGCTTATTTTCTAAACACCACATACTTTAATTCCAGGAAAACTAAAGATTTTTACAATAATGTATTCTTTTTCTATAAGAATGGTTACCATTCTTATTATTTGGGAGAATTTAAACATTTTTGCACTTTGAAGCATTAATAACTTCACCGATTCATAACATATTCAAGTCATAGTCAATTATACATGTTGCTTGTAATTTTGTCACCCCCTATAGATCAGATTCTGCCTTTAATTAGATAATAATAGGCTGTAAAATAAAACAATCAGGCTTTTGTCCTACAATGACAATCCATCACCGTGGTTACCAATACAAAAATAATACTATGAGATCACGATTACCTCTGGCAAGAGTACATTTAATATGTTGCAAATAATAATGGTTAATGGTATAGAATGAGAACGAGACAGAGAAATAATTTCTGAATGCATATTGAGGAAGGAGTATTGTTATTTGACAGATGATTGGAGGTTAATCTTCTTGCAGTTTTTATTTAGCTCGCCATTGTTACCAGACATTTTTACCATATACATGGACACTCCCCTCCATAAGTTTGGCAACCTTAGCTCCCCCATTGAACTACGTGAATTTTACATTTGAATTTTTATTTACTTAACTTGCGATGAGAGTGCTTATACTGTTGATGGAAACGTGATTTGACTTTATTTCCAATGCTTCCAAATTTTCTCATTTTTAAATTACAATAGGTCGAACAATTGATGATACAGGGTGTTCCATATTTTTCAGAAATGATGTTGTATTTCATTGGTTTTCTTTTCAATCTAGCTTATTTTTGACAAAATGTGTCCAAATATGTTGTGAATATGTTGAAAAAGTTTCATATCATGAAACTCAGTAGACTGAATAATATGGTTGCTGTAGTAACCTAGGGGTAGGGTAGGTGGAGCAGGTGTAAGAACGCGCAAAACATGACATTTTGTAAAAATAGTAGTTTTTGTATAAAGTGTTCGAAGTATCAATTTGTCATAGTCGCATCAAACTTGTTGGAAATTAAAAAGAATAAAGGTGGATTCCTGGAAATTAAAAATGTTATCACACCCTTTATTAGCCATCATCATTATTTCAGCACCTATCCCTTCTGCATTCAATTGGTTATAGCGCTCTCACTTTTCTCGGATGTCCACATTTTGTATTATCGGTCTCAGTTTCCCTTTCAGATTTGAACCGCTTGTACCACTCCTACACTTTAGAGGTTACCATCATTGAGTCCCCATGTGCATTCGTTAGGAGTTTAATTGTGTCTGCTGCAGAAAACTGTTATTCACGCATGTCATGTCTTGTCACAGATTGTTGAGGATCTTCCTTTTCTGGTTTTCATTGCATGAAAAGATTATTCAACAAGGGGTCTAAAACTTCTTCAAAAGTAGAATGGTATTTAGAGTCTACTTTTGAAGATATCAATTTTCGATGACCAAAACTATGTTGAAAACAATGGATAGCACGAGTTTTCTAGAACTTAGACAATGCTCAAAATGTTCTCGTACTATCACACCAAACTAGTTCTCACTACTATCTCGAAAACGGGCTTCAACTGTGTACGAACGGACTGGACGTACTAAGAACCGTTTGGGATCTATTTACAAACTTCATCGAACGTACTCGAACGGGTAGGTCCTCTAGAACTTAGACAATGCTCAAAATGTTCTCGTGGTCGTCACATTCTACAATTAGAACGAGTGACAACGTACTAACGACGAGCTGGACGTACTACGAACTGAACCGTCGACTTCAATCCTACTAGGGACGTTTTAACAACGAGTTGAACTGTCTGCGGACGTGTTGAGAACGAGGTAGAAATAATTGCAAACGGGTTTAAACTGATTAAGAACGTATTTAAGACTGCTTATGAACGAGTTAGCAAAATATAGCTATCACACCAAACAAGCTGCCACTGCGTTCCTCAAAACTGGATTTAAACTTTTTGCGAACGGAATGAACGTAGCTGCAACTTTGTAAGGTATATTTACGAACTTTATGAACGTTCTCAGACGGGAATGTGATTTTAGAATTTTGAATCTGGTGAGCAATCTTATTTAACCTCCCTATCACATCAAACTAGTTCTTACCCGTTCTTGCCAGTCCTACGAAAACATCGTAAAACGGGCTCAATCTGGCTGTGGTTGGGAAATAATTATCTATTTCGTTCATAAACAGTCGTCACTACGTCCATGTCATTCGCAGTTCGTTCAGGTCGCACCACGTAGTTATGCAACGTCGTACAACGCGTCCCTTAGTCTAGAAGGTCATCATGACCTGATAAAAGAACGGTATGATCGCCATCGAATTTTGAATCAATTCAAAATTCTAAATCACATTCCCTGTCCGGGAAAGTCCTGGAAGTTCGAGAACAGACCCTAGGACGTTGTAGCTACGTTCATTCCGTTCGCACACAGTTTAAAACCAGTTTTAAAGAACGCAGTGGCAACTTGCTTGGTGTGATAGCTATATTTTTGCTAACTTGTTCATTAATACATTCTTAATCAGTTTTAACCCGTTTGCAATTAGTTCTACCTCGTTCTCAATATGTCCTCAGACAGTTGAACTCGTTGTAAAAACGTCCCTAGTAGGATTGAAGTACGACGGTTCCGTTCGTTGTACGTCCAGCTCGTCGTCAGTAGGTTGTCACTCGTTCTAATTGTAGAACGTGACGACCAAGAGAATATTTGAGCATGTTCTAACTTCTAGAGGACCTACCCGTTCGAAAACGTTCGATGAAGTTTGTAAATATACCCCAAACGGTTGTAAGTACGTCCATTACGTCCGTTCGTACACGGTTGAAGCCCGTTTTCGAGAACGTAGTGAGAACAAGTTTGGTGTGATAGTAGGGTAATATTAAAAAAGTCATTGAGTGTAGCATAGAACAGTACATGACGTGTGGACAACATCGATGTGTTTATTTCGTAATGGCCTTAATTTCCCTAATACGTCGTTACCCTTGTTCTTTCTGTTCTAGATCTTGATTGATGTGTTTTGAATTTTCCATATTACCGACTAGATATTATCACATCCCCTAAGGTCGTATCTAAGAAACAATCAAACATTTGTATGCTCGGTAATGGAATCATACGTATTTACAGTAGCTATTGAACAAGCTTAAGCCATTTCGATTGCCATCGAACGTCTATTTCTTTATACCGAGTCAATGTTTCTACAATTGGGAATAAATGTCTCATAAGACTACATCGGGTTGAAATATATTGTTTGAAATTATGGTTACTATGGCAACTAAATTGGGTCAACTAAATCTTTGTAGTAAAAAATCCTATATTATTTTTTTACATAAATGTATTTTTTGATTAATCCTACTATCACACCAAACTAGTTCTCACTAGGTTTCCGAAAACGGGCTTAAACTGTGCACGAACGGATTTGATGTACTAAGAACCCACTAAGAACCGTTTGGGATCTGTTTACACACTTCATGAAACTGATCGTCAAGACTATTTTCGTTCCGATACCAAGAACAAAAGAAGTGTCCGATGTGTTTTCTAAAACAATATAAAGAAAAGTATAAACATTATTTTCAAATTAAGTTGTTACCATGCAAAGATGATCAATAAATCGAAGATGTGTACAGTTTTAGAATTATTTGATGACTGGTTTAAAAGAAGCGCGTGTTCAATTCAATTCGCCATATCGATACCAATTCTTTGAAAATAAGCCAGGACTATATGCTAATGGTAGAATAACTAATCATATATCTTTTTATAATAATTTACAGACGTATATCCATGTCTATTGCAGGTTTTAAAGAAGTATTTGGTTTCCACCGTACATTGCGCAGACGTTACAGTAGTCTGTACAGCGGAGGGAACCATGCAGTGCGAGCAGAGACTGAGACGAAAAGAACGGACTCCACGAGTTTCAGTTGCGCTTTTGAACAGTCAAACTGTAGCTGCAGTACACGGGCAAGCACACATGCCGCATTAAAATGACCAATATATCGACTTATGATAGCACAGTTACACTATACGAAAAGCAAAATTACCGAAAGTGATCATCCACAAGGTGACTCAGTTGGTTCCCCGGGGCTGTCTAAATGTTTGGATATAAAAACGACATGTATATAAAATGTTCAATCTTAGCAAAAGAACACAATAGCTCGTCGCATTTTGTTTAGAGCTTGGAATGGGCAATTAACGCAACTTGTCGATAGCTTATATATTTAAGTGTGCAAGAGAACGTATATTTTAATACATTTAGAGCTTGAGATCTAAAATATCATTATCAGTTCTATTTGGTGTACTTAAACTGTTGTAGCAAAACGGAAATAACAGTTTCTCCAAATGGTTTTATGAGTTAACTATTTGATGTGGTTTGTTTAAGTATACGTGTCTAAAGTCTGTGTATTAAGCTTTGTAAATTTAAGTATCTGGCAACTTCATTATTGTCCAATTGCGTACTTCCGCATCGTGTTCTCATTGTTTAGTGTGTATGCCATATGCCGTGGGTGCATGTGAATATATCATATTTGTTGCGAAACATGACATGTTTTGTTTTACCGCGTAGCAGTACTCACCTACTCACATAATTATTATCGCATGTGGTGTTGTTTGGTGACGTTTGTATGGTATATCAAGCGTGTGGAAACGCGTATAGGAGTTTCGTCCGGTACACCGATTATTACATATTAACGCCCAAAATTCTTGTTTTTCAATAATGTAGGGTTAGCCACAGCGTTTTTGTTTAAAATCGAAATATTTCTTCCCCACATTTCCCAAAAATGTAGATGGATTTAACAATAACGTGTTTATAACAAATACGTGTTTTGGGAACGAGCGTATCGAGGGGTAATGAAATTCAAAATAACGTTCAAAAACTAAAATAAATCAATTGCCTGCTTTTGAAACGAAAATATTCTACGCGTTTCCACCCCTTGATACCATACATTGATTTGTATGCTGATAAAAGTGGTAATTAGTATTAGACAATTGATATCTTTATGTGCGGGATAGAACTCAAAAAATAAAACAGGAACTATTGCCCATTTTAGACAGTGTTATATAATAGCTCGTAAATTTAAGATTATTAAAGACTCGGATAAGACACTTTGAATAAAGCAGCATTTTTTATATGTTGGATTTTGTAAAAGTCCTAAAATAAATGGCAGAAAACACGAATTGATGTGATACATTGGGTCATAAAATGGTGGTAATGTTTAGGTATTTTGCACTGAATATGTTTGCCATAATGAAAATTGACATCTTCGGAAACAAAACGTGCAATTGTGCATCCGGAAATGTCAAATATCTATTCATTTGCTGTGACATATTAGACGCCTAATAGCATTTAATGTTTCATAAAATCAAAATAAAAGTGTCACAATGCCATATGACGACACAGAAGTGTCGTTAAGTTAAGTCTCTGAGGTGAGGACACTAATTGAATCTTTGCCATACATTTATTGTGAGTCGTATATAAGTCCCAAGATTAGTATTTTGTCTTGTATTTGTTAATACGTGTCTGTGTGCTTGAATATCCAGATATTGTAAATTTTTAGTGTGAAGTAAAGTTAAAGCGCCAATTTGTAATTCGTCGCTCTACATATTTGTGTTACTCAGATATGCAAGGTGTGACAGAATTGACAAATTACAAGCTATTACATCTGGAATTATTCAACTGATGTATTTTTGAGCGATTCGTTGCATAAGGGGTATTGCTTTTTTAACATTAATCAAGTTTGATTTATATCTCTAAAAAGTTCAATACATACAGGTTTTACTGCATTATGTTAGTATGTGGTTTGACTGGTTTTGATTGTATGTCTTGTCTTGACGTGTATTAAAAATGTTGAAATAATTGATCGACGGCACAATAATAAAACAATAAGAGGTTCTCAGACTTAAAGTGACGTTCATATAATTTTTACTTTTCAGTCAGTTTTTGCGATTTTCAGCCATAGATTGGGCAACTATCTAGAAGTTATGAATCTCTGAGATCATGAGACATTCAAATTTAGAATACAGCGAGATTCAATCAGAATTGTTTTAAATTGTTGAAAAAATTGAAGTGAATAATTTTGCACATATAACGTGATCCCAACATTCTTTTCAAGAAATGTGGAGTAGGCTCTAAAATCGGTTCGAAACCATATCTTTTCATTTTTGCCAGTTTTAACCCTAGAAGCCCTAAGGTAAAAATAGTCACACGAACACCTAAGGGGGGTCAAAAGGGCACACCCTTGTAAAAATTTTATTAGTAGAGCTAGGATGTTCAAACTTTTTACACTTATATTTCATTCAATTATCTACAACTTGGTGTAAAAACTTTAACAACTTCGATGATGTAAGATTGCGTAATTTTATTCTTAAGACAACACGAATGGTAGAATTAGTGCTAGCTTTTTTTCTGATTTTGTCTATTGGAGCTGATGATTACATCATAATAAATTAATAACAAATGAGTAAAGCTAAGATGTTCAAACTTTTTCAAGATATATTTCATTCAATTATCTACAACTTGGTGTTATCACTTTAACAACTATGATTTTTTTTTTTTAAATTAAAATTTATTAGACTTAACTTATATACAAAAACAGAAAAATTTACAAAAATATTACAATGAGCTCTTTGAGCTGCTATTCATTCAGTATAGACAATAAGAAGTAAAATTATTTCTACACAGTTCTTACAAGTTTTTCCTTTTCTAACATTAATGTTAGGTTACCTTCTCCATTGGATACTTTGAAGTCATGTATGACTTTTTTGATTAACAGGCATTCATATAATACATTTTTTTCTACTTGAGATATACCAAGTTTTTGATTTTCATCTAAATTCAACTTGGCCCATAAGATTTTTATGACTGGACACTTCACAAAATAATGCATTGAGTCATCTCTAGCATTACAAAATTTACATTTGTCATTTTGCTCTATGTTACACTTCTTAAGATAAACACCATTTGCATGTATATTTTGGAGTATCTTCCACTGTATAATCAATAAAGAAGTGTCTTTAGTACATTTAAACATCTCACACCATATATCTTGTGTTAAAATATTTCCATTAAGAATTACATAACATTTTCTTGCTAAGACTAACTTCTCCCTGATGTTCTTTGAAGTCAAATTTTTTAAATCTGTGTCTTTAAAATATAAAGTACCATTGCACTGTACTCTAGAAGTAATTTTATCTTGCCTTAGACATGCTTTCAACATGTTAAATTGTAAAAGTGTTTGACCATTTCTTCCTACTTTTTGAGCAAGTTCTTCATATGTCATTAATCTGTTGTTTAAAATAATATCATTTATATATATAACACCATTTTTTATCCAATTTGAAAAACTTAGTGGAGATCTGTTCCAAGTTATATCTTTGTTGTTCCATAATATATTTGGATCACTGTACTCACTGTGATTTAACCATGTTGTCAATATTGTTTTGTAGAATGAGTTTAGAATTTCACATCCTTTTAACTCAACACTTGAAATGTTACTGTTAAAAACACTTAGGTTCTTACCCATTGTGTTGTACATATATCTAGGAATGCATTTCCAGTGCCCATTAGTTGGGTTTTGGAGTTTTTTAATCCATAAGATAGAAAATGCTTTTTGCATATCTTTACAGTCAATCATCTTAAGCCCTCCATTTTTATAATCTTGAACCATTACATCACGCTTAACCTTATCAGGACACCTTTTTAATTCATCCTCTTTGAACTTACCCTTTGACCATAAAAATTTAAAAATCATAGTGTTGATTCTATTTAAAATATTTTCTGGCAAAATAAAGGCTTGCATTATATATGCAAACTGTGATAACAATAATGATTTGGCTAGCACTACTTTGCCTATGATTGATACATATCTACCAGACCATGATTTCATTATTTTTTGACACCTACTAAATATTGAGTCTATGTTTTCATTGTTATTTACAACATTAATGGATGTGCTAAAAACAATACCTAAAATTTTTATACAATTATCTGGGAAAAGCTTCCATTTAACATTTCCAACAGTGTCGTTTCTGTTCTTCCATATGTCCAACCACAAAGCTTCAGTTTTACTCATATTAATCTTAAGACCTGGCATTTCATAGAAAGTCTCCAGTACCGATAAAGATCTCTGTAAAGACTCCGAACTGTTAAGGAATAATGTTGCATCATCTGCATATTGTAATATCTTTAATTCTTCCTCACATCCTGGCATTTTAATACCCTGAATGTTAAGGTCAGAGCGTATTTTACAAGATAATAATTCACATGATATAATAAATAATAGGGGAGAAAGTGGACAGCCTTGACGAATACCCCTCTCTAGCTTGACGTCACCAGTTATCCACCCATTGTGAAGAATGTGATTGTGACTTTTTTTGTTTAAAACATCGACCCATTTTCTTAAACTTGGGCCAAATCCAAAACATTTTAACGAATACATCATAAATTCCTTAGAAATTGAATCATACGCTTTCGTGTAATCAATTCCTAGCATAATCCCTTGTAGCTTATTTGTATCAAGATAAATCATAACATCATCTATGGCTCTTAAAATCTGAGCCGCACTACGTGACTGAATGTAGCCACATTGATCATCATGTACAATATGCTTAATAACATGTTTTATCCTAAGAGCAATTACCTTTGCAGCTATTTTGTAATCTGCATTCGTAAGCGTTAATGGTCTCCAATTTTTTAATTCATTTTTAGCCAAACTCTTTTTAGGTATGAGCACCATTAAACCCTTTCTTTGAGAACACGACATTTCACCTTTAACAAAAGCTGTATTCAATGCATGTACTAAAACTGCCAATTTTCATGAAAAATACCTTGTAAAATGCAGCAGAGATTCCATCTAGTCCAGGACTAGCATCATTCTTCATTGACCTAAGTGCTGTTAAACATTCATTATAACTTATATCCCCCTCACAAAGTTGACTCTGCTCTTCAGTCAATTTAGGTATATGTACATTTTGTAAGAAATCATCTAATAGAACAGGTTTAAAAATTACTTTTTTAGAATACAAGTCATTATAATATCTGTTTATTTCATCTATAATTAGTTCTTGCTTTTTCACTACCTCACCATTTGCCAGCTTTATGGAGTTAATACATTTATTATTTGCTCTGGCCTTTTCTAATGATAAAAAATACTTTGTTTTTTTTTCCCCCTTTTCACACCAGTCAACCTTGGATCTCAATTGAGCACCCTTGGCTTCACATGTGGCTGCTATTTCAAAACAAAGTTTATGATTATTAACCCTTTTTCTCAGATCAACATTTTCTGGATCATTGGCCAATAAATCACTACACTTTTTCAGATTTAGCTTGGCTATTTTCAAATCATTATGTCTTTTACTGGCTAACAATTTACCATAACATATAGAAAAATCTTTTATTTTGGTTTTACAATAGTCCCATAATACTTGGGGATTGAGATTATTGAGATTCTGTTTTTCATGTATGAGAATATCATTCATATCATTAACAACTATGATGATGGAAGATTGTATAATCTTATTCTAAAGATAACACGTATGAGAGAACTAGTGCTAGCTGTTTCCGATTTTGTCTATTGCAGCTGATGATTACATCAATAATCAATCAATTACCCTACGTACAATTTTGCTGATTTTTTCAGAAAACATTTATCATATCTGTAGCTTCAGATATAGTGGTTTAAACAAAATAATTTTTCAATAGCTTTTCTACAAGAAGCACATTATAGTGAGAACGTTTATAATATTATACTGAGGGTACAAGAATTGCACTAGTGAATTGCTCAGCTC